AGTTCCAATTTATGAAGAGAGCCATGTTGGCACATCTGGGGAAACCCGAATCTGAAAGCTTCCCGGTTTTCCCCACCCAGTTGAAAGTTCAAGATGAGGGGGGAAATTGTAAGGAGTTAGATGATACGTAGCCATAACAACATTCTTTCTAGAAAGCCAAGGGCATCCTTTGTCTCTGCACCTGACCGGAACTGGGTGGGTGGAAGCTGCCAACATGGCAGTGGGAGATTGGACCATGGGATGGGATTGTGGGTGAGTGGGGGGGGGGCAAGATCTTGAACTGTCAACTGGGTGGGAAGCCTTTAGATTCGGGTTTTCCCAGATGTGTCAACATGGCTCTCTTCATAAATTGGAACTTTGAGGAATCCTTTGCCTCGGACTCTGATTTCATTTTGGATGCTATTTGGAACCCTGATACTAATCCTTGGATGCGTTTTCTCGAGCGATCTTTTCCGTCGTAAACTGTTCATAGGCCATAACCACTGGCCTAGCTGTTTTCAAATGAATCTAGTATTTTTTTCAAATTTCATTTTTTCACCAGGTCTGGCCCGGCTTCACTGCTTATCCTGACTTCTCCAACCCAGACACTGACGAATGGTGGCTAGAAAACCTGAAACATCTCCACACTCAAGTTCCTTTCGATGGCCTTTGGATTGTACGTCTCCTCTTTCACTCCTCTTGGTTTCTGGGTAGCAAGGCTTGAATGACTCTAAATGAGGCGTTAGTAAAAATAGAAATAGAAAACAAATAGAAATAGAAATAGAAAACAAATAGACATAGAAATAGAAAACAAATAGACATAGAAATCGGGTCTGTTTGTGTGTATAGCAGCACGTTTTCCAATTAGCACATTTTATTAAAAGAGAACAGTCTTCTTGAGCTGATGGACACGTATTTTATTAATGGCTTTTGTGAGATGCAGCTTACTTCATCTGATGCAATTGTGTGTTCACGGCTCCACGGAGCTCAGAAAAACTGTAAACAAAATTGTTAGTAAAAGTGATGCTAAATTCCTAGGTTTTTGTTGTTGTTGCTAACATAGACTAATATGGCTCTCTATTTACAGTTCCGGAGTGAGACCTTGAATTGAATTTTAATTCCATTCAAATTTGACCTCGAAGGCCGTTTTCTGTAGGCTGGGTAACTGTTAAGCTTAGAATATCCCTGGCATTTTTTCAGGAGGCAACTGGACTTTCTTGTTTTTTCCTTGAAGACGTTTCTCTTCTCATCCCAGAAGCTTCTTCAGCTCTGACTTGGGATGGTGGGGAGTGGAAGGATTTATATACCTTGCAGGCAAAGCTGGTCATTTGGATCCTTTTAGAGGGTCGTTGAGGCCACTTGGAGGTTTCTCTGTGTCCTCAGCGTCACCTGAGTGGTGCAAATGGTTCCTGTAGTCTGCAATTTTTTTCCCTCTGGGAAGCCATTCCTCCTCCCACACCATTCCAAGGGTCTTCATCCCAAATTGTACAGCTTAAACATCTGTAGGGATTCTCAGTCATCCATCAAGCTTTCGGTCCAGTTGCCTCCTGAAAAAAACACCTTTGGGGGAACCATGACTGAGAATTCCTACAGAATTACTCCTAGTTGTAGATTGAGTTCAGCAGCCGGACTTCTTTTAACGGGTCTTCTTTGCTTTAGGACATGAACGAACCATCCAACTTTATTGATGGCTCAACAGAAGGGTGCTCCAAAGGAGATCTAGACAACCCACCTTACACGCCTGGTAAGAAACACGATCACTTGAAATCTTCAACAGGAAAGCTGGCACCAACCTTTTCCTGAAAACTCCGTACTGCATAAGCTTCTTCAGCAGATCTGCTGTTTGATGGGTCTTTTTTTTCCTGAGTTTTAGCTCTGCCCAAGTGGGATCCTGAAGGTGACCAGCAGTTATTACAAATATAATGCAGGAAATTCCTAGCAAAACCACCATTGTGCATTTCCTAGTTTCAGGTCATCTCAGGTTAAGAGTGCAGAGAAACATCCAGTTCTGCTGAAGCTAGCAAGGAACTCCTTAGAGATGACATTACGTACCACAAATCAACTAGGGCTTCAGATGTTGAGGGAGCCGTGGCACGACAAAACCGCGGTCCACTAAAGCGCGCCCGATTAAAGCGCGTNTCTCTCTCTCTCTCTTTCTCTCTCTTTCTCTCTCTTTCTCTCTCTCTCTCTCTTTCACTCTCTCTCTCTCACACACTCTCTCTCTCTCTTTATTTCTCTCTCTCTTTCTCTCTTTCACTCTGTCTTTCTCTCTCACACACTCTTTCTCTCTCTCTCTCTCTCTTTCTTTCTCTCTCTCTCTCTCTTTCTCTCTCACACACTCTTTCTCTCTCTCTTTATTTCTCTCTCTCTTTCTCTCTCTCTTTCACTCTCTCTTTCTCTCTCACACACTCTTTCTCTCTCTCTCTCTCTCTCTCTCTCTCTGTCTCTCTCTCTCTCTCTGACAGCTCCACTCTCTCTTCCCCCTCGGAGCTCCCAGGTTGCCTTGACGCTGATCCTGACTCCCACGCCGCCTCCTCTTCCTTCTCCTCTGATTCAGCTGCTGGAGGGGCCGGCCACCGACAGACCGCAACATCTCCAAACTGGTTCGTCCTGTACCAGATTTGGATTCCCCCTCGGAGCTTGGAGAGGCTTCCCTTTAGTCCTCTCTTTGGTTCTGCTTGCAGGACGCCCAGTGGAACGACATCGATTATATGAACAGCACCCGAGATTTCGCTGTGGACTCCGATAAGTTTGCCAGTCTCCCACAGATGGTGGAAGATCTTCATAAGCACGGACAACACTACGTGCTCATCCTGGTAGGAACCTTTCGTGTGTGTGTGTGTGTGTCTGTCTGTCTGTCTGTATGTATGTGTGTAAGATGGATTTCTCTTTCCAGCCAACGCGTCTCCACATCTCTTTTTTAAGAGAATGATTAATTTCATTGAAGATTTACTCAAATGGATAAGCAAATATTATTATGGGATTATTGATGTTATGAATGTTATTGTAATTGTTATTATAACTATTTCTCAAAATGTGCCGTACTCGGACAAACACACTGTTGTCACTGAATTTTTAGACATTGAATTTTTATGTTCAATATTAAAAAAATAAAATAAAGGCTCCTTTGGAACCGGTCCTGGAATGCTGGCCTTAATGTCTGTTCTCCAGATGTATAGACTTTAATTTGCACGTTTCTGAGAATTCTAGCCACACATCTGGAAGTTGCCCAGCCTGGGAAAACCACTCTGTAAAACAGCTGGTTCTCGTGTTATTTTCTCCCCCAGGATCCCGGAATTAGTAGCACTCAACGTCCTGGCTCTTACTGGCCTTACGACGAAGGCCTGAGACGCGGCGTGTTCATCAACAACACCGGAGGGAAACCTCTGATTGGAAAGGTGAGTGCCTGCTCTCCTCCTTCAGTTGGGATCGATGCTCTGCTCGTGTCAGGGTTCCTAATAGCATCCAAAAGTAAATCAGAGTCCAAGGCAAAGCATTCCTCAAAGTTCCAATTTATGAAGAGAGCCATGTTGGCACATCTGGGGAAACCCG